CGGTCAACGAAAAAAGTCAAAAAGTCAAACTAGCCGTTTTAAAGTCAAAAAGTCAAACTAGCCGTTTTATTCAGTCAAACTAGCCGTTGGACTCCCTTATGACCGTTTTTTTCATCTTCTTAGCTACCAAAACATGTATAAATAGAGATGGGAGTTCCTTAGTTAGTTACCAACTCATCTCATCTTCAAAAACGCAAAAACCGCTATCAATTCTCGGTTTTTCGCTTCATTTTTTGAATTCGTTACGTATTAATTTCTCGTTTCCACTTCACAATTCTCGTTTATTTCTCTCTTTTACTTACGATTTACAAAATGGCCGGTGAACAACCCTCAAACGAACAAAATGCCCAAGTTCTCGCCGAATACGGACGAAAGTCCGAGATTTGGAATCACAACAACTTGGTGATTCTCATGACCGGGAAACGAAAGGCACAATGCAAAATGTGTTAAACTCTCCTTACGGCGGAAGGAAATTCTAAGTTAAGGAGGCACACCGAAAAAACGTGCCCGGGGTTGAGGTCGGGGGGTGATTCGAGCCAACCAATACTTGACACACAAGGTCAAATATGGAACTACGATGCCGATTTAAACCGACAAATGACTACAAAATGTGTCATTCAAGTCGGTTTACCTTTTGGACACTTCGACAACCCTCACGTTACGAAGATGATTCAAAAGACGCTACAACCACGATACAAGCCGGTAAGTCGCCAAACCCTTAGACGTGATGCTATAAAAATGTGGACAATTGCCAAAGACGAAATGCAACAAATGTTTTCTTCTTTGCCTAACAATATTTCTTTAATGTGTGATGTATGGAGCGCACCATACGGATTACCGGTTTCTTATATATGCATTACGACACATTTTGGGTTGACCCTAACACATGGCAATTATTCAAACGTGTAATCACGTTTGAACCGTTCGGTGCGCCACATTTGGGTGCACGTCAATATTCGATTATTAAAAAAAACCTTGTATTTTATAATTTAACCACGAAAATAATTAGTATTTCGTTTGATAACGCTAGTAATAACAATGCTTGTGTTGAAAAATTAAAGTGTCATTTGACACCTATTTTA